CGTAAAGGCAATGCCAGTGAAGGACACTTTTCAGCATAACTGATAGATAAAACTGGCAAATCTTGTCTTGAGCCCAGTTCTTGGTGCTGCTCCTACGCTCTTAATTCATAAGGTCCTGTACTTTGCAGACTCTTTAAGGTTTACCAAAAAAAAAAAAACCCACAAAGAAGAAAAAATAATCTGACTTGAAAGATTAGCGTAGTCTACTATATGCATATGCATTAAATGGCTACTCCTATTTTCACGGCATCTGTAAGAAGACTTGCAATCCAAAAATAATCAAGTCAATGAAAGTATCAAGTCAATGAAAGTAAACATTTTAGAAGTACTGCAAATATATAAAACTTCCATAGCGCACATAAAACCATGAAATACCAATGTTAAAGGAATGCTGTTGTTAATAAAAAAATACAGCACCACTGAGTTATACTTGCTCTTAGCTCCAGCCACCCACCCATGCCCTGCAGCACAAGATTTCCTAGAACTTGCACAGATTATCCTAGCTACATTAACTGCAGATGCTTTTTGAATGTCTTATTTGCATGGGTAAGATTTACAAGCTGTAACGCCTCATAAGAATATTCTTATTATAGGATAAGAATAATTTCACTTTTAGTAAAGTTTAAACCTTTCTCAAGACAACCTGTCCTAAATCCATAAGTATTTGTGCTTGAGAAGTTGTAAAGGTGGCAGGATGTACAGCTTCTCCTAATAAAGGAACACTCCTCTGAAAATACGTATTTTGTCATTTAAGTACCTTAAAGTGAAAAAGATCTTTTTTTCCTCTAAAATATCAGTTCCCTTCTTACTGAATAGACAAGTTCAATGTCAAACTCATCTGACATGTTTCTCTCCTTCTTCTTGTTGTTATCTAGTTAACGCTTGCTTAGTTAACACTGGCAGACGTGTTGTCAGACATTAAAAATTTACGGAAGTAAAATATTCCAGCTTGCTGCTAGTAGCAAACACAAATACTGTTCATGTTCTGAGACAAATATTCAGTTTCATCCTTTTTGTAACAAAGGAGTAACAAATTTATCTTCTCCCAGAGAAGACATCCTAATGGAACACAACCCTAGGGCTCATGGAGAACTGGAGCAGCCCAGGTATGCCTAGATGGACACTGTAAGATATATTAGAAATATTAAAAGTTCCTGGGTTCTTGTAATAGATCTTTTTGGTCATTCCAGAAACATTCACAATTATTCACAAACAACCTACAAATATCCAGAAAGGACAACTTTTGCGGTTTTGTCCTTCATCTGAATAACTTATACATACACACAAGCATATGCTGCAGGTAAAGATCTACCCTGCAAATATCCACCCAAAGACAGTAGCCAGAAAGGCTTGCACCCACAGTGCACGTTTTTTACAGAGAGGTATGTCTAGTAAGCATGCAAAGAAGAGGGATTACTGACTCACAGAGCTGGGATGGCACAGGCACCTTAAAACAGATACCAGCAAAACCCAAGCTTTTACAGGCCTTGCCTTTTTTACTCTGAAGACTAGTAAACACTTCTTTTACTCAGAAGACTAGTTTGACAAAAACACAAAAAGGAACATATAGCTTTGCTGGTACGACTACATTCATCTTACTTCTGCAACCTGACATTTTAATGAAATGTTTCTACTGTAGGCCCAGTCAAGCATGTGTTATAACAGTTCATCAGAAATCTCAGAGGGATAACCATTTCAGGCTAGCAGACGTAAGTCTCTTCACCACCTTTTTCAAAGTTAGAAACATAAATGTCAGGCATATGTATTAATATTTAACATACATATTAAGAAGCAAAAATCTAAACCACAAACATGACATATTTTCCACTTTTAATATGTGAAAACCAAGTATGAAACGAACTTTTCTGCCATCCACATAATTGCCATCACTTAGGTTAAAGAAACTGACAGCAAGTCAAGGACCACAAGACTGAAAAATCAATGACAGCACAGACAAAAGCAGAACATTGCAGGTGGCAACGTAACGCTACTAAGACAAATTCAGTACGGGCTTTTCGTATATACATGCCTCATCAAGCTCCTATAAATCATCCAGAATAGACATGAAGACTGAAGGCGCAGTCTACATCCTTTCACACAGTTTTGTTAGCTCAGGCTCCAGTTCTTACTAAACCGTAAATTTAATTCTGCTAACTATAGGGCATTTGATAGTGTCATTCTTCTTTCAGGGAAAAAAAAGACAGTGAGTTATCAATCAACAAATTTTCATCCCACCATGTGCTTCTGACCATTCATTTGAGACTACATGCTGTAAATCAAAGCAGATATACAAAAAAATACGAGTATCTATTTGTCCAGACCACAGCAAATACTCCATCTCATCTACTACGTTCTTGTCTCACGCATACATGGAAACAGGTAAAAATATAGCACTTATTTTTCTCCAAGTGAGCGCTTCATCCAAATGCTCTTAGCAAAAAATTATGAAAACAAGAAAAAAAAAATGCTGTTGGTTTCCAGTTCTGCAGGCAGGTGTACTGCAAGGTTGGTTTTACTGGTATACATGAAAGAGACATGAAGACAAGATAGAAAATCAGGCCAAAGGCAGCTCTATAATTTCCCAAATTGCTTACTTATTATCCATATTATTTAAACCACTCCTAACAAAAGCCTCAACATTTGCATGAGTAAGTTCATGGCATTTTTCATTGAATTATTTCCTTGCTCCCTTTTCTACTGATATATCAATACATTGTCTCTTATCTTGCACTTGGATCCTAAGCACGTTTTTGGCCCTGGACTTCTTGTTTTTGTTTACAGAGCGCAGTGAAACTCTACTCTGTAATGAGCATCAAGAACAATCATTCTTACCTGTCACTGGATACACAATTTATCAGCCAGGTATGTTTGCATACTTGGCCTATGTTCTGCAGGGTTCAGATTAGGCCACGCTAGGGAGGTGTTAATGTGAGGCTGGTAAGGAGATGACGCATCCATGTCTGACTGAGAACACACGGCTCCTCCATCCCATGCAAAGTCAGACAGGTTAGTTTGGTTTCGGCAACCCCGCTTAACCTTGCATTGGAGCAAAGCAGAACGGTCTGACTGTCACAGCTGAGTCTCAGCCGAGCAGCAACTAACAGCCAAGAAACGGTTTAAGAAGTAGCTTGTTATGAACTTCCATCTCTAGCTACTGAAGTTTCTGCATCGCCCATCAATCACAATGTACAAAACTAACAGTGTATAAAAGATCACGGCGTCTCAGGAGAGCACGTTCTTGGATACCATGCTCATAGGAAGCATCAGGAACGATGACTGAGGGCCCGGAGATGTAACTGGATGTCTGGTTCCTGCATAGACATAGACCTAACACCAGTAATTCATCCTGTGAATATTTTGGCCCATCCTAGCTCATATAGATTATTGAAAGAAAGTTTATTTCCAGTTAACTTGGAATGGCACATGCACCTTCCAGACTAGAGCTGGTTCTCACCACACTGGCTCAGAACCTCCAGACACAGCTGCACTCGAAGACCCTAACAACAGCAGCTCAAAACCACAATTTATGACAAAGACTTAACACAAAAAAACCCACCAAGATTACCTCTTAAAGTCACACAATATGCAGGATAAAAAAAACTATGATTTTTTAATTAATTTTGTAGAGCTGGAACTTAAGTCAAATCTACATTTGTTTTTTTTTTAAAAAAGTAATCATCCATCTTTGCTTAACAGGAATAAAGCATTATTCAAATGTAGAAATAATTTTTATTCTAATTTTAATATAATAAAAAATAGTATGATATATATAAGTAGATTTAAAGGGTGTACACACCACATCAATATATATAACTCTCACGAATATGGGTTTCTCATGAACTATCTGGATCTGATATGACAGAATGCCCATAAATCAACATTTACATAGACATAATTTTAGAGTTAAATCAATATTGCCTTTAGAAATGCTGATATGTTAAAATGCTTAAATTCAGCAATTCTAGAAGCTACTGCAGTGCCGTAGGATAATTACCTTTGGTAAATGCTACCTTTATTCATGGTCTATAACAAGTGAATATTTTATATACAAGAGTTAAATCTATATTGGCAATTAATTAATTATTATGCTTTAGCATTGATAATTTAGGTCAGTTATGAACTTCAAAAGCATAGCCAAAAAATCTATTTTAATTTGAAACTTTCAGACCTCTGATTTAATCAATAACAACCAATCATTACTTACTTTTTTTCTGAACACTGACTGAAACAAATCCTGACATGCAAAATGAGAAATGTAAAGATAGATTAAAAATAATTAAAGTAATATAAAAGCAAGTTACACTAATAAAAGCACATGATCACATGTACATGATTGGGATATATTCTTTGATGAACTTCTAACAGGGATACAAAATACACGGACATTACTCAAGTAAAGGACTTTATACTGAACTCATCATTTCTGGATTTATCTTTTTAAGAAATAAAATAGTTTTCATATTTCAATCTGCTTAAAAATATATTATTTAAATTCCACAAAAATCACTGAAGATAGTTTTAAGAATATCTTAAAACCAAGCAAAATCAATATAGTCTAAATAGATCTAACAGCTTCTTCACACTTGAAAAAAAAACTGAGAAAATTTAACTGATTTTTGCCCATTTGCACTTTCACATTTAATGTTCAGAGTAGTTGGAAAAGCCCTGAGCAACTCTGAGAAACTAGAGATTCCTTTGCAGACTCAGAAGGACAGCACTGGTTTACGTGGTGAGTTCACATCAACGAGAGTATTATTGCCATTAAAAGGACTAAAACATTTTAAAAAAAAGGTTTTTTGATGCAGTAAATGACACCTTCCCTTCACTTCGCAAATCTCCTGCTTAACAGTTTATTATCCCAACTCTTAGATAATCTAAGTGATAAAGGCACTAAAGAAAAATGGCTATGGGCCCAGTCCAAGGCCTGATAAAAAATCAATTTAAAGGTTTTTATTAGCTTCAACACGCACTACATCAATCCAAACAAACTGTGTTCGTACACGCCAGGAAATGGAAGTCGACACTCTAGTGCTATCTTGTAATGCCGAATACCGCACTTTCGGCCAAGTTGCAAACCAGAACACAGAACTGAAAGTGCAGAGCGGGCAGCCTTCATCTGCGTACCCCTGTAGAGCTGATTACGGAGCCTATTCCTTGTCAAAGGCAAAATCCATTAAAAAAAAAAAAAAACTGGCAACACTTAAATGGAAAGCATTCTCATTTTGCATCATTTCCCACAGAAGAACCGCCACTGGGGTGTCTGTTACACTAACAACTGCTTAATATAATACTACACAGAAGAAAAAGCTTATTCGTAGCTTTTAAAAACCAAACCTGGTGCTGAATTTTATGATTGTCTTCTCAGCATGCATTGGTTAATGCAAACAAACACCTAAAACATTGTACATTCTGTGAACACAGCATGTACTTTTGCTGACTAGGAACAAGCATTCACCTTGCCTACCATAAAACTTACTCTTCAAACAATTATCTCATAGTAAAGTAAGCGTAACAATACATAACCTCTAGTTTTTATTTATAAAGCCTTTCCAAATGAAAATCAGTGTAAAGCAAAGGCTAGCTGTCTGAGTTTGCAGACAGGCTCCTTGAAGCCCTCTGGCATTCGTTAAGGTGCAAGTCAAAATGGATCTCATCACTTTCGATGCTGCCCCCACCAAAGCTGTGAAAAAGGCGCTCCGCAGATAAGATCAGGTCACTGCAACTCTGCTGTTGTTTAGCAGAGCCACAGGCATCAGCAGGGTAAAAGCCCAGCCCTGTACCAGAAGCAGGGTGAAAAGCAAGACTGGAGAGGAGAGAGATTTGTGTAGAGCTTGTGCTTTCACAACAGCCCCTAGACTGTGGCAGGAAGCAAAAAAGAAGAGCACAAACCGACTCTCCTTCAAGCAGCAGTCATACTTAGACATTTACTATGGAAATGACAGTATAAGCAAGATCTGAGATTAACACCTATCCTGCTTATCCTCCACATTGAAGTCTGCCAGGAAGTTTTACTCTTCTATGATGAAGAAATTTTTAAAGCTCTAATACTAATTGGAAAGGAAAAATGAAAATCCCATCAATACTGTACATCAGTATGTTGTTACTTATACCCATCTATAAAATCTGAAACAGGCATCAACTCAAAATTATATACCTGGATTAAAAAAAAAATTACAAAAAAAAATACAAAAAAATTACAAAAAAGTTACAAAATTATTTTTCTACAGTCCCACTTTACACCAACTACATGGTTTTAGTTGTTAAGTGTCTTAGCATTTCTCTAACCAATCTATGTTTCACAAGGCTAACACTGTAAACCAGGAAGATCAGATGTACAGCTGTACATCATAACTGGCAAGGAAGACACATTATTTAAGGGTTTAATGCCCAAATGCTAAGCTTCACTTCTGAAGAATTTTCTTATGCACTTTATTTTCTTGTATTTAGAATTCAGTGGTTCAGTTTGAAAATGAAGCTCTGTAAGCAGGGGATACTAAAAGCTCTCCTAGAAATTCCAAGCATATGTCACGCACCAGGCATTTACCAACTGCAACATCTTCACAAGGAAGTCCCTCCTAAAGTAACACCTCTGAAATACTCCCAGTAACACTCAGAAAGAGCCACAGTTGGAAAACATATCTATTAGTTTTACTGACACTCAAAAAAAAAAAAAGCAACTAATAATCAAATTATGAAATGTAATATTAAGTGGGTCCAATATTAAGGCATGTAAAGCTTTGGACATACCGTACAAAAAAAAAGTCCTTTTAACCACAGTGTTCACTGACAGCATATATTGAACCTGGGTGAGCTAAAGCTAAGAAGCAAGACTCTTGGGGAACCACATGCAAAGAAAGCTGCCTGTTTTCCCTCCTTGTAAGAAGTTGCTATGAAAATTTGAAGAGGAATGTCTTATAATTCATGTAATCATCAATCATCTGCAAAGCCAGCACTGGCAAAGCTTGCAAAGGGTTTGTACACTCCTAAATCACTTAGAAAAGTCCACTGGAAGGCAATTTTTTTTTTTAAATCTGCTTCTGAAAAAGTATTGTTTTTGATTACTTAATATTTGTCATTACCTATGAAAGCCCTAATAAGTTTTGACAAATTTTAAGCACAGAGAATGTATTATCTATTCTGAAGAATCTATGTGTTTTGAACATACTGAAATTTATGCTGAACAGCCCAAAGCTTTTGTGTTTAAGAAACAGGTTAAGGCACCTGTTTACAAATTGTAAATCTATTAAAAATGTCATTTATAAAATGTAAACTGATGCCTTGACCTGAAGCATCACATCCACTGATACAAAGAGAAAAAGTAAATAAGAATGTGTGACACTTCATTTTCACTGAAAGAGTTGAAGTAACTCTTTCAGTGCAACGTGGTACAGTGTTGCTTTCCTTATGAAATTAAGGCTGTATAGTCAACCTAGGCTAAAACAAGATCTGATAGTCTGGTTTGAATACGTTAACCCTTACCTTTTCAATCATGGCAACTAATTCACTTAAATCATATGCCCATCAAATCACACCCCTGGGCTTATGTATTTGGAAAAATATTGATACACCAAAATAATTACAGGGCTGGAGGTAACAGCATAAAGCTCCTGTAAGGTCATTTTCAGAATAAAATGAATTCTGCTTTTGCTTTGATTTACATGACTTTGAAAAATGCACTTCTAGACACCTTCAAGACAAAACTTAGCAAGAAAGGCAATGTCAGTAGAGAAAACATAGTGCTTATGGATGCAGGCAGGCAAAAGCTACAATTAGCACATGATAAATTAAAGAGGGAGAATGATGGAGGAGTCTGGAAACCAGCCTAGGCTAGTACTTATTAATGCAACTGCTGCTTCATTAACATTTTGCAAAAGGCTAGTGTTGATTAGAGTGGATTGCATTCTGATGCTCTGAAACATGCTAATGAGTGATCTTTCTGGTTGAAAAAAACAGCTTATTTATGAACGTGTAGGCAGCAAGAAGCACAACCAAGTCCTGATTGCAAACCATGGCACACGGGCACTCCAGCTGGACAGTATCAATGTGTCACATGAAAGAGGCAGCCAGAAGCAATGAAGTCAGTTTCAGTCGGTCAGTGGATCACCACAAACACATTTAAACCACTCTGCTTCATTTCCCCAACCCATAAAGCTGAAAATCTTCTCATCTCTAAGATGTGCAGCATGCATGTCGGGGACTATTGCTGTGCCATATTATCTGCATTATTTTTTTAAACATATTAAATTGCTCAAGTAGATGAAAAAAGGACCTTAATGACCTGCATTGTTTCATGTCAAAACTATTTCAGATACTGTTATGTACTTTACATTCTGGCTTGTTTAAAATATATTCATAAATTACTTACATATATTCATTCCGTACAAATTTGAAACTATGCTAGACCAGGGAAAATGCAAAACTACCTTTGTATATTAAGTGTAATTCAGCTATTTCTTATGTATAATAAAAGATCTAAACTAATTAAACTCAATCGGAAGGTCTTTCTCTAGTTTAACTTTCCTTTGTCTCTCACTCTCCCTCCCCAAATAAATCCAATAATAAAAATGCATTAAAAAAACAGCGCTTTCTCCCGCAGTTGCAAACTGATGGTTCAGTTAAACACTCTCTTGCTGAAGAATCTGGTAGAAGTGGTCAGCTAGCTCAATTCCATTAGCTGGTCATACATTAGTGGCTTACAACTTAATTAATAGCTGCAGTAAGCTTTTTACATTTTATTTGCAGATAATCTTCCAAACAGGCCCTCCACACCAGTTTGATTTGCTGCTGCTGTTCTGCTTGTGATTCCCTGCAGAGACAATTCCCAATTCCTCGCTGCCGCTACATTTAAGCGCCGGGAGCGGGCAGGCCAGGCTGGCAAGGACAGGAGGTGCTCGGAGGAGCAACGCAGCTCAGCGGGGCTGGCAAGGACAGGAGGTGCTCGGAGGAGCAACGCAGCTCAGCGGGAGCCAGGCGGCTGCCCAGCGCCAAGGCAGGACGAGGGGCATTAATTCTGTAAGTCTCTTAACAGAAAGTTTTGGCAAATGGTGACAAACCAAAACTCAAACTAGTATAATGGAGACTGCACATCAGCTTCTTCGAGCAGTTTCTTTAGGACACAGTGGCTGAGCTGCTATTTCGGTGAACACCATATTCATTGCATGAAAAGTTTACTCAAGAGAAAAATCTGCCTTTTATTGGAAACACAAAACTGAAAAAAGAGAATGGCCACTTCTTGTCTCTGAAATACTTCAAGTCTTACAGTCTAACCATGATTACGTCAGCACACTACTCAGAATATAACTCGGGAGTTCTTGGCTCTAAATACTGTCACAACAAGCCACAAGGAGCTAGATACTTATCATGCCTTTCAGTAGCCCTAAACTCCATTTCATAAATGCTATAACAAGGGTACGTTGACGTTTATATTTTAACTTTAAATAAAACAATATCCTTCATAATTTCCAAATCCTCTGTCATGGTGGTTGAAAGTAAAGCCATTTTCCCCACATCACATCCTAGCTGCTTATTCCATAACATTTTGTCTATATTATTCAGTGCCATTACACTAAAAGGAAAGAATTTTTTCATACTGTGGCATTTCCTATAATGAAAGAGGCTACAAAAAGGGGTGCTTGTGTGCTGGTATGGACCATTTGCTTATATTTATGGAAAAAATGATCGAACGGTTAGTGACTAGGAAGTTATGTGATGCTAGAAGTTGAAAAGCTGAAAAAATCACAGCAACCATACAGATTTATCATTTCTCTTAAACAGCTCTTCTATTCAGGTCATTTTAAGAAGAAGGGAACATCAAAAGCAGAAATTAGTTTTACTTTAAATTTAAAGTAGTGACTCAGTCAGTGAAATTAAGGGATACTGACTTGGTTTGGAGCCCTGGAATAGGCTCCTTTCAGCTGACATGAAATAGGGGATAGTCTGCATGATATAATTCCACTTGAGAAGACCCCTGAGAAACAAGTAAGGGGTTAATCCCAGGTTAAGAGGGATTTCCAGGTCATAAACGCTGGTCCTTGAGGGCTGGGGAGAGATGCTTGCTGTCATGGATGGGCGCCCAGAACAGAGGCTGCTCAAGCTCAGGCCTTCAGCCTCTCCCCCTCACTTGTTCTTCTCAGCAACAGACCTACAGCTCTATTGCTCCAACAAAGGCCCCTCTTACTCCCTCCTTAGGGGAACAGCTAACTTGTGATTTTTCTCATTGAACACCAGATTGGCAGCTGCTGTGGAAGTAGCGCACACTGTCATAGATGATCCTTCCCTTCTACCAAACTAGTGCCACATTTTGGACAGGACAGAAGTGTTCACAAATGATAAGGCAGAGCTCTCTGCATGAGAGGAAGCTTCGCCCATAATCTTCCCGCAGCAAGACTGTGTGCAATACGACCAGCGAAGCGCCATCTCCTCGTCAAACCTCACTCAGCACTGCGGTTACCCGAGGGCAAGTTTGCTGTTCTCCACAAGCACAAACAGTCGCACGAGGGAGCAAGTCAGGTTGTGCACAAGGAAGAGCACTCCAGCCCAGAGGCCTCAAAATTCCTCTGGGATGGCTCCATGGCACAACGAGGGTGGAGCGAACCTGGGAAGGAAGCTTTTCTCTTCCCTCCTCTCACCCTTTTCTCTTGTTATAGAATAAAACAAATTTGGGGTCCTGCATAAATACACAATCATTTAAGTTCCCCCATTCACCACTCTAATATGCTCAGGTCTCTTTACTCCATCACCATACAAATCCAAATCCTTAATGGACAAAATATTC